AATAAAGTCCTTTAGACTTCAAAGGATCAAATCACTGAGGAATCAAAGATCCCCTTGGAAAAAATACACAAAACAAAACAGATACCTCCATGGACTAAATAAAACAGATATAATAATGGGCCTAAGTGAACTTCCCAAAGCAAAAACTCATCCCATTACCTATTTCAAGAAAATCTCCAGGATTGGAGAAAAACTCCCAAATCACTTAAGCATTTTTACTTATAGCTCTAAAAATACAGAAAGGACAGGTAGTGAAGCACTACTGAACAAAACTTATCAAAAACGATTACCAAATGAGACATCTATTTTCAGCGTGGAGGCTAGTGCCATAGACATAGCACTAGATATCATGACCACTAAAAATTTATAATATTCTCGGACTCCTCATTGGTCTTAATCTCTTTAAAAGAGAAAAACCTAGAAAATCCATTGGCCATAAAACTGCTAAATAGGATCAAGACCTTGGAAATGGTTTTTACATAATATTCAGCTGGATACCCAGTCACATTGGAATTAAAAGAGGTGACAGAGCTAACTCAGCAGCTAAGTCATCCTTAGAAACGACCGTTGATAAGAAATTCAACGTACCCTACACAGACATGAAACCCAAAATAAACAAATACATAAAAAAGAAATGGCAGCAATTATGGGAAATACATAACGAAAATAAACTATTTAAAATAAAAACCATATTGGGAAAATGGACAATAAACAATAAAATAAACTGGAGAGGAGGTCGTCCTGAGTTGACTGCACATAGGACATACATGACTAACACATGGCCACATGCTTAAACACGAAGAACAACCAAAGTGTACATGTGGATCTATCCTGACAGTAAAAACATATTCTGAAAGAATGTAGAAGCATAACTCATATCAGGAAAAGATACTTCAAGGCAAGGAACCTAATGGAACTGTTTGAAAAAGTAAAAATCAGAAATATCATGGACTTCCTGAAAAGGATAGGACTATACAATAAATTATAAAATTAAAAAAGAATCAAAATAAAAACCAGATTATCTCTACAAACTATTTAAATAAAACACAACTTTGAAACACAACTCAAATTTGATAATAAAAGAAATTAAATAAATAAAAAAATAATTAAATAAATAGATCCAGCATAAAATGACTTATCAGAGGTTGACATGCCATAAAACCCTATAAACAAAATTAATAGGATAATTTGATGAATTAGCCAGTTCATTATATGTAAGAAAGTGGAAAATTAAAAATTTCCTGGTAGATATTTCTATGAACTGTGGTATCCAGTAGAATTTTTAAATTACCACAATCTATTTTTTAAAACAAATGTCCATATTCTTGAAAATAAAAAGTTGTATTAGTATTAAATATTTCTTCTTCTGTGGGTCATTCTTTTCTTGTTATATAGCCTGCTATATACACAAGTAACTTAATATCTTCAGAAATCCTAGTTTCAAGGTCTGGAAAATCCTAGTTATCAAATATTTGACATATCCACATTTTGAGTAATTATGGCAAACATCAAATTGTATTCTTTAACATCAATATTCAATTGAAGTAGTAATTTAGTTTTTCATGATGAAATTTTTCATTAACATTTTGCACTGTTATAAAATATGCACCGCCAGGACATTACCTTAATTTTTCAAATTCATTTTTAAATAATCTGTAATAAATTCACCATGCATAACAAATTTAATCCACTGCTTAGCAAATATCTCCAAGCATCTATTAAACAATTGAATGTATGTTGAATGGCCAAATGTTCCTAATATATAATTCAACTTTCCTTGCTTTGATCCCATTATTTTTGCCTTCCACTTTGAACTCTTTGTGCCATGTTCAAATCTGCATTGCAGTTGGTGCATTTTTAGTGAATCTCTCACAAAAGCTCACTGCACAGTCTTGTTCTACTGTGTTCTAGCATACTCAAACACACAAAATGTCTTTTCTTTTCCAGTAAATTCCATTTGTAACATTAAACATAGAATTTTGAGTTGAAAATTTGAGATCATTTGAACGAGAATTGGTCAAGTTAGATTACAAAATGATATCAATTTTTCTGGAACACACGCACACAAACACACCACTACCACCACCACCATGTTTTCAAAAATTTTATTTAAATACTTTCTGATAAAAAAGCAGACTGGATGAACTTCTGATCATTTGATTTATAGCATGTAACAGCTGGCACAAATTCCTGTTGATCAATATAGTGACAAAAATTTTCAAAACTGATAATTTTGTCTTTTCCTAGAAATTTCACACTGTAGTAGGAGTTTTAATTGTAGTTCTGGGTTTTGGTTGAAGACTAGATAATACAAATCTATGATCAAATACTGATTGTAAATTTTTGAATCATCCTTTTCCTCTAATAACCACTGTTTCATGACCAGATGGAAAATCCTTTTAACAAACAACAGTATTTTGTTTTCCAAGTGTGTTGTCTCAAGGTATGGCCATTAATCATCATTTTTGTTCATTCCAATCTTAAGGAAGACAAAATATTTTGTTCCACGACAACCTGTTACACAGCGCTTTTTCATCATTTTGAGAAAGATTTTGGGATAGTGAAATTAAACAATATTAACTAGTATTTCATAAAATTTACAGGGTGATTTTAAAACTTATATGAACCTTAGATCTTAATATCTCTAGTATTTAGACTTAGGAATTTAATATTCAGAATCTAGCATTTAAGGTTTGTATGAATGGGAATTTGTCCTCTTTGAGAGGCTCCAGAATATAGAAATTTGATTGAGACATGGGAATTTTAGAGTTCAGAAAATGAAATGGGGAGTAAGTAGGAATTTAAAATCCATGCCAACGCAGATCAATGCAGCTTTAAAATTATCTAAATTACATGTTAATCACTTTGTATCTTAATAAAATAGTCAGAAGAGTCTAGGTTGTACAATAGTCACTACAACCAGAAATACTTCTTTTTTTTTTTAATTTTTTTCCATATTACTGTAGATTAAGCAGTTTAGATAAGAAATATAAAGAAAAAAATGATGAAAGCTAATAGGAGGTCCAATTTGATATTGTAAATTGATCCTCCTTCAAAAGATGATCATGTAATTTCTTAAATTAATTTATTTTTAATTTGAGATTCATAATCTATAATTCTTTGCTTCATATGTTATCATTGATTAAGCACTCAAATATTTTTTATTACATTTTAAATATTCACCTCATATGAGCATAAATAAAAGAAAACATTATTCTCATTGTTATGAACAATATATAGAAAATTATTTAATTAACTTTGTGATAAAATTGACAATAGTTTGTCAATTTTGCATCAAAGAAGTTTACAATAAAAGTTCAAAGAAAACAAAATTAATGAACCTTATACTTCAGTGTCTTAAATAAACTCAAGTTAATCCAAGGCTAAAAAGTAAAGATTTCTTTTTAAAAAGTCTAAATTTCTTGGGCCCATTCTAGCAACGAGCTTATCTCCAGTAAAATTTTTTGATTGCACACTCACAGTGGATTTGCTTTACTTTAAGGACTTTTTTTTTTTTCTTCCTTATATTTTCAAAGTATTGTTTTTAGGAAAGACATTTTGTGTGTTTATTTTCTTCCTTTCAAATATACTTAGCAAAGTAGTTTTGGTTAGATACAAAACATTGAACCTGAAGATATTGCTGATTAGTCAAATCATGATTGGCAATTTCACAGATGAGATCCTACTGTAATTGTTAATTCCAGTCTGAATGATCTGAATATTATATGAACAAACATTAAAATATAAAGCATTAACTGAATTAAATTTTTTTCATTATTTGAATTTTTCTTTGTTACACAAATTTCATTTATTAGTTTCCTCATTCCATGGATCAGCTTTATTCAAGGGAAATAACTTAGATGTATTTTGTATATAGTATTAATTTTGTCGAGTATTTACTTCATCTAAATTTAAAAGATTCTGCTGCTACTTAATACTATCAACCATTCCACATATATTGTTGAATGGTTTCATGGTGTTTATGTGAAAAAATATTAATAAACTTGCTGGTTAATATAATGTCTGTTTCTTCAGTTATAGTTCTACAGTGTTCTACTGTAGACATTTAATACATAAATGCAATATGAAAAATTATTTCAACATTTGTAAAGTAAATCCTATTTAAAGAGGAAGAAAAGCAGGAGTAGGAGAATAAAAAACAAAAAAAAACAACTTATTGATAGCAGCTACATACCATCCACTGTAATTGACTAATGTTTAAATGGATTTATTTTATCACCCACAAATTAAATCACATGGTCAAATATTAATAGAAGAAAAATATCATGTCAATACATGATCTTTTTCTTCTGTTAACATTAACAAGGAGCTATAAAATTAGTTATAGCATTTCTTGAATGCTTGTGACATTTACATTGGAAAATTATTAGGATAGATTCTTTCTTCTGCCTACCATGAGAACATTTATATCATACATTTTTATAAAAGCTAACTGTTCTAAAGTGATAGTTATTGAATTTTTCAAAGATAATATTTCATACTTATGCCATGTAGGCATAAGAGGTTTTACAGTTTCAAGCATTTTAATGGCATAAATGTCTCATTATTGTAATTGAATATGCATTCTTTGCATAGTTGAATCAGTTTTCAGCTTAGCATTTGAAATGAAATTTAGTGTGCAACACATTTTTTATTTCCATATATTGTCACTATGTAATTCTACATTATTGTAATTGATATGTGCTAACTATTTGAAGAGCTGTATTTTCATTTTTGCTGTAATTATTTTTATCATGAAAGTTTCATATATATTAAAAAATATCAAAATGAATATGAAATGTAGCTATGTAAACCGGTTTGAAACAAATTTACTTCTGTTTCATATATGTAGTAATGAGTTTCATCAGCCCTACATCCCTGTATAGTCCTTTCCTGTATATATGATTGTTAGGCTCTATAAACAACCTGCTTGTATTCTATCTTATTGATATACTTCTTTTATCTTGATTAAATATTTTGAACTTTTCTTTCCATTAAAGGAAATCAACTTCAAGATCAAGCAGAAAGCCATCTTCATCATCTCGCTACCGGCACCGGAGCAGATCTCCTGTACACAACACTGGCAAGCATCGCTGGGTAGGGAGAAGAAACAGCAGATCACGTTCAGCTTCTAGGTCAAGGTCACGTTCTGATCCTAGGAGCCATAGTAATAGCTATCGAATTGATCGGCGTCGGCGGTCCTGTTCTCGAAGTCGGTCGCGATCACGATCAAGAGAATGGAAGCGATCTCATTCCACCTACTATGGTAGTGATGGCCGTGGATCACGCAATATTCACAGCCGATATCAGCCTCGAAGACGCTATTCCAGATCTAGATCAAGAAGCCACTCATTTAATTCTTCAAGATCAAGATCATCATCTCGGTCTTATTCATCTTCCAGTTCTCACTCACGTTCTCGCTCACGTTCTCGCTCAAAGTCAAGGTCTCCTTCACCACACAATAAAACCAGGTAAAATGTTTTAATTATTACTATAACTTACTATAATTCAAGAAATGTATTTTTTGTTTGTCTGTTTTTAGTATGTTAGCTGTAAAAAAATTCTAATACAGTTTTTTAGTGAGGGATACAATTTACATTGTGTATCCATCCATAAACTGAGTTTCTATCTTTTTATTTAACCATGTAAAATAGGTACCTCCATTAGGTCGTGTAAAAAAGCAGCATAGCACGATGAAAAAAGGCCCATAACTGAAGGAAAACAGTTTTGTCATCAAAATGTTGTTATTAATTGAAAGCTAAAACATTAAATTTATTATTTACAGTAAGTAACATATTCTGGTTTATTTCAGATAGAAATTATATACATTGGAATGTCAAATATATGCTTGATTTTATTTTTTTTTATTTTCTTGAAAGTGGCTATTTTCTTAAATTTTAAGAAATTTGTAAACAAAAAAAAATGATTTTAAACTTCTTCCTAAAATAAATTATATATTTTTGACATGTTATTTGAGTAAAATTAGAAAATTTAAAGTTAAATTAATCTGATTTGAAACAAACAGTACTTACTTATCACATAAAAAAAAATTGTATCCAAACATTTCTTAAAGATGTGTCTGAATTTTTCATGTCTTTATTCACGTTATTGATGTTAAGAGGTGATGACAACTATTATGGATGATCAAATTTGACATAATTTTACGAAGTAAGCAAATGCATTTTTTATTTTTAACTAGTAATTTTTAAATATTAACATTTATTCAGCAATTATGTAATTATTTTTTATTTAATATTTTTTTAAGTCTGGATTTCATAAGTCTGGTTCTTAAATCTTTTTATCTTATTTAACAACTTACTAACTTAAACAAAAAATTATTTCAATGAAATATAACCCAAACTAAAATAAATACCTAAAATAAAAATATTTAGTAAAAAAGTAATTCACAAAAATTAAAACTAACTTAGAAATTTTGAAAGGACTTTTTGCAAACACGTTAACGATGTGAAACAGAACTGGATATTAACGGGAAATAATTGCAGTGCCTCAGACGACAATCAAATCACATGATCTTTTTAAGGATTATCTCGTATAGATTCCCCATAGATAGAAATTATGAAGGTTTTTTTTTTTTTTGCTAAAAATTATTTTTAAAATACTCTGGTACAAACGACTGTTATGAACTTTTCAAATTTCGATTTGTAAATTTATTTTTCATTTAACAATATCATCGAATTGCAAGGATTAAAAGCAATGAAGAATTTTAATATTATATAAATAAATAACATTTTTAAAAACTGAAAAAACATTCTACAAATACATTATTCATCGAAAAAGTTTTATTTCTTCAGACAATAATGTCCTTAATATAACGTATTTACAAATTCAAGTAAAAGGTTTTATAATTAAATAATGTCATAGTTTTTTTACATTTTTTTGTTTTTTTTACAATTCAGAGCAGATTTTCTATGAAACTGCTAACTGTTTTATTTTAAAAAAAAAACTGGTGATTTACTTTCTCTAAAGAGTCCTGTTTTTAACTAATAAAAAAATCCCAGTCTTAAAAATTTAATTTCTCGAAATTTCATGAAAATATTTAAGGGGGTGGAAACATGTATAAAAAAAAAAAAAAAAGTATTTTTTACCAAGATTTTCTTTAAAAAAAAATTCAAAAATAGTTTCATTCATTTCTGAATATTTCCTGAAAGTTTCATTAAAATCCGACAATTATTTGATTTTTGCAAGAATTTCCAAATCAACGTGTGTTTTCCTCGGGAAAAGCGCAAAATAAAGCGAACCTTTTTTCCGCTTTTTCAGCACTGTTGTAAAAAAAAAAAAAAAGCAATTTTTTTTTACCAAAATTTTCAACATACTAGAAAGGAGTAAAAAATTTTCAAAACATAATAAAAAAAATACTTTGGTCTTTGCTCTTAATAACAACATAAATATTTTGATGATAAAACTTTGTTTTCGTTGAGTTATGTGATTTCCACCTTCATTTTTAACAACTAAAACCCAACAGGAAGGCAGAATTTCAATTCTAAATCCGATGTCCTCCCAAGAAAAAGTTTGAAAAACAGTTTTCAACTTCTCTGTTTCTGAATGTTCTGACATCCATGCAATTTTCTAGTGCTCAAAGCAAATGAAAATTTGTAGATGCTAAGTTTAAATGAACCCAAATTCAAGATGCACTTGATTGACTTCTTCATAATGGTAAGATATGTAATTGGTTTCCAAACATTCTAATATATATGTTACTGAAAATTTCTTAGTCAGGAACCGAAATATATAGAAATAGCCACCAGTGTGACATTTAAAAAACAAAAAAAAAATCAAATATTGGTCAATGTTATGCCTGTGTTATTGGTGCAGTAATAATTTAGATTAAACAAGAAATCTCTTGTAAAATTCTGTTATTTATCCAAGATAATGATATGGATAGTTTTCAAATAAGGTATGATTCAATAGTTTAAATTTAAGTATTTAGTTGGATATTTTTTTTTTAGTTAGTATTTTTTAAATGCATATGTAGTTTGCATTCTCTGAATACTACCAGGTTTTCTGATTCATGAATGAATGTTGTTAGATGGCTTAATTTGATGAGTGAACAAAAGAAAACTCTACATATTTATATAAGCAAGATTTGAAACCTGCTTTATCTTTTAAGAAGTAGCTTAGACTTATCCATACTTAGTAAGTAATTCAGGATTTTTAAAATGATAGATGTTATTTATTCTACTTGCTCTTACGAAAATATTGTTGCAGAATGACATTTGGATGAGTATTAAAGTTTTTGGGAACAGGTTTGTTTGCATTTTATAAGACTATAAATGTTGCAAAATACTATTTAACTTAGTAACCAATTACATTTATCTTTATTTTCATCCACTGAAACTGATAAAAGTCATATAATCTATATCTATGACTATTGACTATTAAAAAATGAAACAAAAAAAAAATTCATACAAAAATAAATAGCACAACTGAAAAATATATATATATATATATATATATATATATATATATATAATTGGATTATCCTGTTATTGTTTAGTATTAGTATAATTAATAACTAGCTACTAATATCTTAGTTAATAGGTGTTTTTTAATTGCAACTTTGTTATACAGCAATAACATATTCACTATGCTGCTTCTACTCTGTCAAACCCTACATATTTTCCTTTCTTTATATAGATTATTAGATAGTCATTTTTAAATTTATGCAGTAATTATTTTTTTTTTTTTGTAATAAAATTTATCTCCAGTGATTTTTTTTTTTTTTTTTCTTGTTTAATGTTAATTCTTTGAAATTGCATTTATCATAATTTTGCAATTCTCTTTTTGAATTTCTGCTTTTTCCTTTTTTAAATTGTAATAAACTTTTTAATTTATTTTTTCTTTAAACTAAAGTTTTTAGCACACTCTAGTATTGTAGTGAATAAGTATGCAAAAATGACATTTTTAGTAGATAGTATTTAAACATGTTCTGAAAGATATAAAGATATAGAGTATTTTTTCTTTTTAGGTGTCATTCCAAGTCTAAAAGCCCAGCTGAAACCACAGCTGTTGCGACACCTCCTAAGCCAATTGTTAAACGGTATAGAAGATCCAGTCTTTCATCCAGTGCTGAAGATTCCAAATCTGATTCTGATAGTGGCAAGTCTCCTGCACCACCCTCTACTGACACGACTACTACTACATCTTCCACAGTTACGTCTTCCAAGATCAAAGATAGCAGGTACTTATTTTTTAACAAATTTTCTGTATTTTTTCTACAGACATGAAGTTATCATTTTTGTTCAAAAAGAAGCTCCAGGGACAGAAATTTGAATTGTTACATTTGTATATTTTTACTACTGAGAACCCTTGGAAAAAATATATATATATATATATATATATATATTTATTTACAGACAATCTGCTTTAGAAAAACTGAAAGATCAAACCACTGCAAAATCTTTGTGTTGTTTCCCTCTTGAATTTTTTAACAAAAAAATTGACATAATATATTTATAGCCAGTGACAAAGTAGAGAAGTAATTCTTAATTTTTGGGGCCAGTTTTGAGCCAATTATTTTCTATAAATTTTCATAACTAATCTTAGTTATCCACTCTTTGGTAAAAATATTTTATGGTTTGTAACTTACTGATTACTCATTTTCAACATTGTTCAACTCTGTGTGGTATCTATACAATTCTTATAAATATTTTTTTCCTTTTCATTTTATTATCAGCATTCTTTAAAATAACTACACATTTTGTATTATCTTTGGCTGAATTTACCTATTTGGGAATGTGGCTACTACTGATACATATGCATGTACACGGTCAATATAAAAATAATTTTACATATCAAAAATTCACACATATGAAAGAGAGCAAATTTTTTCTACATACGCAAATACAAATAAAAAAAAATTGAAATTTGGATTGTCAAAGGACTGACTGTATTTCATGTCTGATTTTGATGTTTGTAATTATTCCACTGTTTATAAATATTTTAAAATATAAATAAATTTATTAAGCTTGTGGAAGTATTTCCTCATTTTGGTTTTTCCACAATTTTATTTTCCTACAAATTGGTGATCCTCAACAAAATATGGTCACCCAAATATGATCTGAACACACAGCTGTTACAGGATGAAACCATTCGACAAAAGAACAAAACTTTCAACAGAATTGGAATCTTTTTTGTTGAACAAATTTTTGCCATCTCTTCATCACCATCATACCCCATTTATTCTCTTCAGTGTTTTGCTATATTCACAAGGAAACCTTAGAAAGTATACTTCTCAACATTTCCAATACATAGTCTCTTACAAACTAATTAACTATTGTTAACTCACTGTTGTAAAAATTCATAAGATCTGTTAAAACATCTGAAAGCACTGTTAATGATACCAGAGACATGAGAACCACTTGAAAAATTGGCACTGATATTTTTTAGAAAAAATTCTGAAATATTTTTCTATATACTTGGTATCAAGTTTACAAGAATCAACTTTACTTGAGTTACCAACCGACAAAGCATTCTTTTAGCCGTTAATTTGTGTCACCAAATATATATCCACTGTTTGCAATTCATTGGCCCTAAAATGGATACATTGAGAAACAGTGACAAAATTTTCAAATGACTACATACTGTTGATCATTTAATATGAAAAACACTCAGTCTGCACAAGACAAAACTTCAGTAAAATAGAATTCAGCTGTGAATATTGAAGTAATTATATCTACTAAAGGTAGTAGGCATTTTCACTGGCCTGCTCATTTTGAAGATCATGTTCATTTTCAAATTCCACACACGTCAATACTCTTTCCATATATATATATATATATATATATATATATATATATATATATATATTTTCAATGTGTGTCTGCATATTTTGTAAAAACCTGTATTTTTCCTACAAAAAGGGGCTCTAGAAACATAAATTTGAATTGTGGCATTTCTATTTTTGACCAGTGAAAGCCCTTCAAAAAGCCTGCTACATTTTTTGACACATTGAGATAATCTTTAGAAAAACTGAAGGATCAATGTAAAAATTTCAATATCTTTTCCCTCTTGAATTGTTGAGTAAAAAAAAAAAAAAATCAATAAAATATATTAATTATTGATTAATGATAACAGTGGCCAACAAATTTTTTTTTTTTTTTTAGCTGGGACTGTTTCTGGGGTATCTTGGGAGTGGGGGTGCTGAATTCAAGGAGAACATTGATTTTTGTCTAGTTGGCTCTAGTTTTTAAGATATTCAAATGTGTTTTTTGTGTCTGTGAATCTGTACACAATGATAGTAATTGGACTACTGTGTTACTGGTGCATGACTATCTCAACAAACCCAGATTGCGTATGAATAATTTTGATATTTACTATTTTATATTTGCTACTATTTTAACAATGAACAAAGAAGAGCCAGAACATTTTCCAGTCATATCCTCATTTATTACAAGAAAAATTTATAAAATAAAACTGAGTTCCAATCAAATTTCACACCAGAAGTAAACTAACAAAATATGTAATTTAAGCTATTCAACATGATATCTTACAAGTCCAATATTGCAAGCTCTCCAGTTCATTGTACTTCATCTGGAGAAAGCTTCTCTTATATGACTTCCTTTTGTGAGTTTTCTGAGTGCAATCATGCATAAGGCTCCAGCAGTAATTGAACATCATGTCAGCATTCCATCAGCCCTGGTTCTGCTCCTCCATAATCTTGGTGCAAACGTTTTCCTTGTTTTTCATTTACATCAATGTTTTCAGGGAATCTGTCTAAATGGTTAACAAGATCACTGAATGGTCAATTTGGATACAAGCAAACTTGCCAACATTGTGCAACAATACACACTTCAACCTTCATTTAGAGCTGTCAATAAATAAATGCCATTCAGCTGGATTTTACTTAGGCAGTCCCATTGCTAAACAAAGGCTTTGGATGTGGTTGCAAAACACAAAGTTATCTTATTCATTAAAATAATGAACAAGTTTCTTGTCTCTGTTTGGTAAAATATTATCTTAGCTTCAGAGTCAAGAAAAGCTTCACTTTTGCAGTCTGAAAATCTCCCAAATATGAATGACAAATACTACTACTGCGGTTGTCCAAACCCTTATCCATTGCTTCTACAATGTTCATAGTGTCATTATCTTGATCAAAGATCAGGCAAGGAAGTAAAAACTGGAATGGGAATACCAATACAATGTAGAATTGCTCATCTTGTAGATTCAGTATCAAGATAGTGCCTTTATTTCTTCTGATGGTTCCATCCTGCATGCTCACCATACAGAGGTAGTACCCTAAACTTCATTGGCTTTACCTTGGGTCCACAAGTGAAGGGTTTCAGTACAATTCTTACAAACTTTGTGGGGAACTCAGGATTTATCTTGATCCCCAGTCTTTACACCAAAGTATACTTGATATGCTCTTCTGATGAAATCGCAAACATTGAAACAATGTTCTTTTACTGTATATTCACCACATGCATAGCAGAAAATGCCAGGGTCATTGTGGCAACGTTTTCACTTAGAATTCATGATTAAAGCTTTGTATAATTGAAATATAGAGACACTGTCACTGGCAGAGCCTGATAGACAAATCCTGCCTGCAAGCAGATTGGCTGGAGCTCTCTGACCTCTATACTGTCATTTATATCTGTAACAAGAACAATGGTATGAGTTTCTCCTTAATTAAAGAATTATACAATTTTAAGGAATGTAAACTGTTGTATCCCAGGCTGATAGGATAAACAAAGATTATAAAATAAAAGAGCAATTGTGTTTTAAATACAAACAATATTTATTTTTTGCTTCACCTTGCTTGATGCAGGTGGATGAAAAAGATTAAAATCAACCCACAAGTGTGTGTTTAAACAGCAGCCATCTTGTTTAGTTTCCCTGTCTGGAAGTAAATTTATGTACTCAAGAATTCTCTTTCTTGGGTAGAGTTATCTCCCCTAACATAAACAAGCAATGAGTAGAGAGAGCAAATCTAGCTTTTTGGGAGAAATTTAAATCATTGAAATTTATTGATGTCCAATATCTTGAAAAGAAGAGCCAATCTACAGAATTAAGTACATTTTCGGAATAAACAACCCTGGTTTATCCTAAAAACATCTGAATATCCCGTGCCTTTTGGGGAAAAATTTTTTTTTCTGTTCTCAATATTTATCTTATTTGTAAGTTATGGTTTTAAATATTGAAAATGAAAACTGGATTACATCCTTACAATCATATTTACTATAGTTGATTTGGTAAGATACTTTACTAGTTTTAGATATTCTTGTGGCTTTACTTTTTTGTTTTTCTCAAAATTAAGGCTTAATTACATTGGTTATTGTAAAGGATTAAAAATATTTACATACGGAAATAATAAAATTAAATTTCAGATTCTATAAATACAAACTACAAATTAGACACTCATTTGAAGTTGAGATAATTTTCATGTTTTTAAATATTTAAAAAATTTTAATGTATTTTTCTTAATTCAAACTTTGAATTGTAATTGCTTATTGCATTTTTTGCAGAGTTCCTGCACCAAATGTGTTGGGTAAAGCCACTCTAGAATCTCAAGTCAGTAAGCTCCTCTTTTTATATTCTTCTTTTCATGTTGTTCAATTTCCATATGATGTCAAGAGTACTACTTCTGCTACTACTACTACTTCTGACCTTGCTTCTTTTTGCATTAGTTTGCAATAGTCTCTACTGATTATATCCTCCCCGATGTACCTAAATTCATCCCATAAAAGCCTGCCATGTCCTGTAGCACATATTCCTTTTTCTATATGTGAATTTGTGTCCTGGGGAAGGTGAGGATATGCCTAAAATTATTTGCAAATTCTTCTATTAAAATAGATTTGATTATATTTCTTTATGCAAATATGGAATTTTTAAATTCTTGGTTTGTGACTTGAAATTATAGTGAGTTTATTTTTTAATCATGAATTATTTATGATTATAAATAATATTAAGCATATGAAAAATCATTTTTTATTGATATCAGATTCTATGATTTTGTTTTCTGATACTTTCCGAGTTTATATAAAATATACTTTATTTATTGAGCTAGAATTTGGTTTAAAAATACAGTGTTTGTTCTATTAAGTGCTATATAACTTGTGAGACTCTTTCAAGAGCAGTAAATTTAATGTTATTGAAGATTTAGGAGCTTTTTCAGATGCATTATTTTTGCCTGTCAAAAGATTAAACATTTTCTCTGTCCTTTTTGTTGTTCTGGTCTCTTTGTATTGTTGATTTTTAAGTATAAATTTAATTTGTTCTTGTTCATGAATTTGAATTTATTTGGAATTAATGTTTTTAGTCATTTCGTACAGTTTGAATTCCTGGGATGTAGAGTTATCATTATTTACACTATTTATATTCAGACTATTGTCTTCATTTTTGTTGTTGTTATCAGAATGTTTCAACTGTTGTGCCCTCTGGTCTTTATCAGCTGTATATCAATCTGGGTAACCTACAGGGAATTCTGAACTGAAGCTACAGGGATAGACTCATTCCACTCCCCATATTTAGGGAAATATCATCTAGTCTAGGACAATGACTTAGAATTCCCTGTAATCAATATGCACTTGATGAAGCTGGAGAGTACAACAGCCAAAATGTTGTGATAACAACAAAGATGAGGAAAATAGTCCAAAAATAAATAATGTTTTT